CGGTCGGGAGTCCAATGAAGTGTGAAGAGTTCTTCCACTGACAGATGACTCAAGTAACCAGATGAAATATGACTAGTTGGAGGTTTTTGACCGAAACGTTGCTTCCTCCACATGTTCAGTTGCTGGAGTGACTACTCCGGGATCGAAAGTGCATGGTGAAGGGAAACCAGGTCCCCAATCAGCTGGCCCTAAAGGATTGAGCTTCGCCTGACCTCTATTCATTGACCTTCAAGACACGATAGGACCGGCGGCTGTGGGAAGTCATCCTGCGTAACTCGGAAGGTCATCCTATCGATACTAGTGCTTGATCCAGAGAACAGTAACTAATATTACCATAAATTCACATTAGAAAACCATGGCGAACGTCAAAAGTGACTCACCGTGGACAACACTGGAGCAAGTAATTTAGATTGTTGATCACCAGCAATGGCCTCACGATGGTGATCTGCGACGAGAATGCTCCAATATTCCAAGCAAATTTTAAATACTTCGCGGTCCGCAACCTCAGAAAGCATTAATAACCAATTGTAAGCATCCTGTAACCGCCAGCTCAATTCGGGCTTGTCTAGTATTTTGCTGTGACACTTCAGGAAAGTTGTGAAGAAAATCGCGAGATTTTGAATGAAATTTTGTTCATCGGTACTTCCATACTCGTAAGCACTTTTTAGTTTTGTATCCGAAGGAATCATCTATCACGAGATGAGAAAGGATTTGTGCACATGCTTACCCGTTTTAACTTTAGCGTTACGGATATAAACAACGCGAGTAACTGTGACTTATATTCATCGGTCATTACACCAGCTTGGGAAATAGATAAAGTGATACCTTGAAAGAAACATACCAATTTCAGCCAGACATTTCAGCGTGACGTTACGAAAAAGAGGCACTTCGAAAAATTTTAATACCAATGTTTCAATCAGATTGGTTTCAAAAATGTAACCAAGCGGAATCCAGTGCATAAAACGTAACAATGTCTCCAGCGTTGAAACAACAAGGGAAGCATTTTGCGAACTGTCCAGTACAAATTGGCAGAGCTGAAAGATCAGACCGAATTCCTGGCACATGGAATCTTTTAAGTGTTTTGCCTTTGCTTGTGTCATTTGACCGAGAGAAAAATCGAAAACCTCTTCACTCAATAGGCGCAATATAACCATGTTATTCTGGCAAAGAGTTTCGTTTGTTTTACTTGCACCCACGATATCGCTGATGAACGTTGGCCAATTGTTTGGCCATTCATGCTTCAATATCTAAACCAAATAATAGGGAATTATGCCACTACACTTACCTCTACCAGAATCATATTCAGTTTCCCGAGGTATGTCTTTTCCGATTCGATTAGTTCGCTACTGGATGAAGTTTGTATGATAAGCCCAACAATGTATTTTTTAATGCCTACAAAATAATCTGCTGAAACAGAAATAAAAAAAGAATACCTTCACATTGAGGTCTTGCAAGGGCCTTCCAACGGGTTTTGATGAGGGACTCGAGGATTTGCAGGGCAAAGTATTTAGTCTCTTGATTAGAACTGTACTCGAGAATAGAATCGACGCGCATCCATGAATCTGGATGTTCTTTTAATATATTCAGGATTTTTTCCGCCATCTTCTGCTGGGCGCCACTTTCATGATACATGCAATTGACGACCCTGTCCAGAAGACCAATATCCAATCGCTGAGAAAAATCAAGCAACTGATTGGCAGCAGCTTCCGAAATAACACCCATGGTTGGTGCAGGGGGCATCAGCTCTGCAATAAACGGTGAAAGTTAACACAATCAAAGTGAAATCCTGAGTTGACTGGTGTAAAGCACAACAAAACTCACTCTTGAACAAAAAAGCACGAAGGAAAAAATCGAGCCATCTCGTGACCTGTCGAAAAACTAAGTATCGTTTTCTAAGTAAACTTTGCGAATATGTACACTAGCTATTCACGGTTGTCAAAGACAACAAGATAAGACTATTGCAGCACGATCTCTTACGCACAGCTGTTCGTAAATTCAGAACCAACTTAGAAACCACCAGGTCACGCTTAAGCAAGGGTAAACGTCCCGATCAGTCAGGATGATTTGATTGAGTCTGTGATGGCATTTGGGCTGCATCAATTCGATTAAAATGACGGCTTGCTTACTTCTCTTACATTCCTATTTTTCTACACACTCCTCCACTCTGTATCTTAATATTATTATCGCTACAGGCACCAAGAGACGGTGGTCAGGACTGTCTTGTGGTTTTTACGACCGAAGTGGTAATTACCTAACGTGAACTCAGTTTCACAGCCGATTGTAAAGACGGAACTCTAAGGCAAAGATGAAACATTATTTTTGTCCTGGTAGTTGAATGGTTTCACCACAAAATGATTGTACAATGGTGTCTTATTTTGCTAAGCACTTCATATCCAAGTACAGTATCAGTTACCATGAGCAAACGTGCGTACTTCTTACTGTTCCATCATTACCTCCTACTTGAGGACGAGTATGACTCGAACAGCAGCCTTCTACTAATAGCAGATAGCGCCGATTCCGATGAACATGACCGAATCTCCCCATCTCAACAAAAGGGAGGGCTCGGTGGTCGTTTTGACCGCTCGGAAGTTGAGCGCCGTAGTATGTAATCAAGCTACCGTGGGTGACGTTGAAGCAGTTCCAATATCTCTCCGGTATTTAAGCATAGTAGTCAAATTTCTGTCAGAAAGTTGGTCACTCTGAATGTTTTCAATTATTCAGTGTGTATAAGGGATCGAAAACCTATAGACAAATAGACATTAAGAGTCAAATTTCATCAGCAAACATTAGGACGGAACGAGCAGCAGCACTAGCGTTGCGGCGGGTCACTCTTCTCTTGCACCTCACCAAATGTTCTCATACGACCAAGCGTCTCAAATAGCCCCTGCTGAGGAACTCTTACTCACTGCCTTCTCGTGACCAAGGTGTTGTCCCATCAAAGTGAGAGGACAAAAAGCCGACATTCGGGGTTATAATCGGATTGGTGGACCACGGGTAGTTCACCTAGGGGAGTTGGCTAAAAACCATGATTCTAAATAAACCAAGTGTACGAACCACAGACCTTTCGGATTGTGACAATGGTCACTAACTCAATTGGGCATCGAGATGTATTGGGCACCTTGTGTTTTAAACAGATGTGTTAGCGTATTTCACATTGAACTGTACCAACTGTTTCATTTCTTATATTTTGGCTATTGTACTACAGCTGTTAGAAGATTGAAGCCATCATTCGGCCTTCATTAGGGCGGTTAAGAGCAGTGGTTTAGTCTGTCACCGGCGTACCCTATGGTTCGAGGTTCAAGCACCGCCACCGCCACCCAACTTTGGTGGTAGGCTGCTGTCGTCCGGTTTAATACCACAGCTGACCTATGGGGTCTTATGTGGTTCGTTCCGGGGCTTAGGTAGACGGTTTCCAACACTGAACAGCAGGTCCCTGTGACTATGGGATTCGCCCCGTCTGCTGTTCATCACACTTAGGAGTGATAAAAAGACTCTTTTTCTCGATTACTCTGCATCATTCGGATACAACAATTTGATCTTCTAACAATGGAACTTCTATTCCACCCCAAACCCTTGGATACTGATCCTCGTTCCCCTGCAGTAGGCGAGCAATGGATCCACTGGCGGGAGACCGACAATTTTCTTTCAACGATAGAGACCCCCGACAAGAAAATTCCTTGTTAACTTCACCTCTCCAGAAATTTATCGGCAAGTCATCGACTGCTCCACTTACGAGGAGATGCTACGAAGCATAGAAGCTCTGTATATCGAACCGAAAAACGAAGTGTATATAACCTATAACTAAACAAGAACATGGACAATTAATCGATCAGTTTCTAAAGAAACTGCGCAGCCTCGTCGGTGACTTCAACTTCTTGTCGGTTTCCGCTTAAAAGCATCGTGACGAGGCTATCCGCGAAGCCTTCATCACAGGACTAATGTCTAACAACACTCGCCAACGACTTTTGGAAAAGTACTTGATCTTCAACATGCATTCTAAGAAGCTCCCATCATGTTGGAACAGGCTCGGCAACAGTCGCAACTCTGTGATTCGACTTCCTATGTATCATCCGGTGCCATCACGACGAGACTGCACCTTGATGTGGTGTGATGGCTTGCGCGCCTCAATGACCCTGCGAGCTATACAAGATGGCTCCTCAGTCGCAGATCCAATCATGCCTGAAAGGTCAACGGGTAGAGGCCAGACGAAGCTGTCTCACAAAGCCAGCTGCTTAGGCACCTCCTGGCTTCCTTTTATCCACGCCCACCCCTGGAAAGGCCACTCCAGCAAATAAACACGGAGGGGCAGCTTACCGGTCGAAAAACCCCTGCTAGATGGACGTAGGAGCGGGGTACCTGGGGCTTCCTCTCGANGAAGTCATCGCACTTCATTGGACAGCTACCGCCCGCCCAAGCTGGGCAGCCCCCAGCCAATAAGGTGCTGTCCCGTCCACGTTACGCTCGTTTCATTGGGTGCATGAGGCTAAGGGCTGATCCCGAACAGCGGACCGATAATCAATGCACCAGCGAACAACAAACTTAACCGAAATTCAAAGGCCTCCAGGTCTCCAGAAGCTCCCACGCGGGTGCTTCGTTCACGCTCCCGCGGTGCATCTACGCCCCATTGCCCTGAGTCTTGAGTCAAAGGCTCGGTTAGGGTTCCCAAAGAAAAACCCCTTCGTCGGTGTGGGCTACCGCG